ATTTTGAGGTTACTGGCGGCTGGTGCAGTGGTTTTGACAACATCCGAGAAGCTTTTGGGTAGGTTTATATTTTTTGACATATTGTATCGACGTTTAGCCTCAAAATACGTTACTTTGTCTAGAGTTTTGATTCTTTGTATTGCAGCTTCTTCCTGATAAACCGGGCAAGACTTGATTGGAAGGGTGCAGGGTGTTCCATCATGGGGAGGTTGTCCACAAGTACAAATTTGAACTTTGGACTCACATTTATCGGTAATGTGGCCAAACTTTTGACATTTAAAACATCTTAACGGGTTAGGGATATATGGTCTTACCTCTAATCTATGGAAAGCAGCATTTATTTTCTTTGGAAGGACAGGTGAGTTAAATGTTATAATGTGGGTTGGAGTATCTATAAGTTTGCCATCTTTTTTTGTTTGGATTCGTTTGATATCTGTTATTCCCTCAACGAGCAGATGCTTCTTAAGTTCTTCCACACTGCAGTTTAGTAGGTCACTACAGTAAATGACACCTTTACTGTAGTTTAATGTTTGATGGGTTTTGACCACCACATCAGCTTCACCAAAACGCACCAAACTTTGTAGTCGTCATTTTTAGCTCCCACTAGTAGACCATCTTTAATTTTTTTTATTAAACGCACCTCTCCAACTAGACCAAACAAAGTTTTTGAAATAACAAAGGGACTTTCCTTTGAAAAGTCTCCTTCACATTTCGAGATTATCAAGAACCGGGGAATAACCTCCTTTTCATTGACAAAATCTCCGGAGTTACCCGGGTTTTGGTTTGAAGATTTAAGCGCATCTTCTAGGCTTTTTTTTGGTGTTTCCAATGTATCTTTTCTTTATTATTATTATTATTATTATTATTATTATTATTATTATTATTATTATTATTATTATTATTATTATTATTATTATTATTATTATTATTATTATAATTAAATGGGAAACTAAAATAAAAACAGCGACCTCTTAGAGTTGAGCTGGAACGCCCATATTTGGTGAGGATTTTTTTTATATTAAATAGAAACATTTCAGAGGGTAAGAGCGAAAAAAAATTAAACTTTATTTTTTGAAGCACCCTAGTAGGTATATCATAAACAATTAATATAATTAATTTAATTAATTCCTATATATTTTTTTAATATGGTTTTGTTGATTGTTTTTAAAATGTATTTTTTAATATGTATACATATACAGTGACAGGCAAAAGTATGGAACAAATATATCTAAAAATTTCTTGTAATCACTTCGATTTTGTTTTTCAATTACGCACATTTTGATGTAACATTTTTATATTTGGGGCCATTTTTGTAGAAGCTATGATGTCATCGGCCATTTTTTTAAATTGCACCCCAACTTTTTTTTTGTAGATTCGAATAGAGTATAAAATTCTGGTTTTAACAATAATATTGCATATTATGCTCCTTGTGGGCTGATAGTTCTGGAGACATTAATTTTTAAAAGTGAAAAATTTATAGTTTTTACAAAATAAAAAAGTTTTTTTCGCTGAAATGTTCATAAAATCTATTTAAATACTTTAGTTAAGGTATAAAATTGTTCAGTCCTACTTGTTTTATTATAATTATTTTTTAAACAATTGTTCTACAGCAGGTGTCGAAATATTTGTTTGTTGGTCTGTGGATTTTTAAAAATTGACTACTACAGGTACAAACTTTTAGTCGAGTGTTCAGCTGTTTTTAAATCCTTCCCATTTGACAGAAAGACAGCGAGTTGAAGTTTTAATTCTCGTAGGATGTGGCAATAAAACTAGAACGCAACAAGGAGCATGCGATTTGTTTAATGCAAAGTATCCAGCTCGACGTATTACTGTTAGTAAAATTGAACAAAAATTTAGAGAGACTGGACATGTCAAAGATATTTCAAAACCTGGAGTTCGAAAATTAGTGAAGACGCAAAAATTGACATTTTGTTACGTGTAGAAGAAGCCTAGTCGCAGCTGAAAGTCAAGTCAGTCAACGCTCAGTATTACGTCTGATGAAGAAATAAAAGTACCATCCATACAAAATTAGACTCGTGCAGGAACTTAACGATCTTCGAAGATGGACCGTAGACTACAATTTTGTGAAACGATGATGAATAATCCACACTTTCCTCGTAAAATACTTTTTTCGGACGAAGTTACCTTCTACTTAACAGTTAACCGTCAAAATTGTAGGTGGAGAAGAGAAAATTCTCATTGGATTTCTGCAAAAAGTGAATGTCTGGGAAGGAATAGTGGAAAATCTGATCATAGGTCCTTTCTTTTTTGACGAGAATCTGAAAGAACAAAGATATTTGGAATTTTTGCAAATCTCTCTTCTTCCTACATTAGCGGAAATGTTTTCCAAAGAGGATGGGGATCCCAATCTTCCAAGTAATACTATTTGGTTTCAGCAGGACGGGGCACCCCCGCACTATGCGCGTCCTGCAGTGGCGGCTCGTGCGTGTACAGGAGGGTGAGGCTACATAAGGTTAATTTTGTCTAAATACGAATAAATTTCCACGTCACCCGGGAGGTATTATTCTGCGACGCGTTGACCTTTTTTAAAATGGAGCCGATAGCACTACTAAACCAAAAAATAAACTCTAAAAAACAAAACAAACAAAATATCACATCAAAGACTAGTTTTAATCTTAAACTTAAAAATATAGTCTTAAAAAAGTTAAAAATAAATAAATTAATCAAAAAATAAAACTAAAAAGTCGACCCCTACCTAAGTATTAAAAAATATAAAATACTATACGTCTATCTTTTAAGATTGAAAATTTATCTATTATTTGGTCGTAAAATTGTGGCTCTGCAGTGAGATTTAAAAGTAATTCTAAATTTTCAAACCGCGTCTCTAATTGAAGAATTATGCAATCTATTATTTCAAAATATAAAATTTGCTTAATAAAAACTGCTAAATCTACCTTAGTGTGTTCCCTACAATAATTAAATAAGAAATTTTACTAATCGAGACAAAAACTATAAAAGATCAGCCTAAAGTTTTAAATAATTTAATCTGAATCAAAACAATAACGTGCTCTACAAACGCTAAGAGAAGACTGGCAACCTTCTTTGTCTCCGCTGGCATCCCACCATAAACGGACCACCAATCAGAACAAACCAAGCTAACTAAATTTCGCCTCATCTACGGTGTTTATTCGCGAACTTACGGCGATATTTTTGTTGGTGAGTCATTTTCGCTTTCAAGAGGTAAATGGGAGCTTCCGAGGCTGTGAAAATTTCGCCTCTGTCCAAGCGACTCTCAACGATGCACGTTAACTTGACGCGCTTTGCGCCTGGATTTTTATTTACGCTTAATATGATTGATTGGTTTTTTACTTTTTATTGGGTAGAACTGTTTTAAAAATACACTTGTAATAGGCAAAAATATAAATACAAAAAGTCGTTCGTTCCTTCATATTAAGGGTGAGGCGCGGCCTCAGAGGCCTACCCTGAAGAGCCGCCACTGGCGTCCTGTCCGTACTTTTTTGGACACCTGTTTTCCTAAAAGGCGGATTGGAAGACGAGGACCGATAGAGTGGCCCGCGAGATCTCCGGATCTCATCCCTCTCGATTATTTCTTATGGGACCACAAAATTTAGAAGACTTGAGAAATCAAATTCGTGAAGAATGTCGCTTTTATTATTATTTATTCGCGTTTCGGTTAGGCTTGCTTAATGCCAAGAAACCAACGGGTGGCAATTCGAGCATTTAATTGGTTAAAAGGTGTTATTTTTTGAAAATAAAAAAAATTAAATCACAAACTTTTAAATTTAATATTACCCAAAACTAGGTATATATGTGCATATTGCTAAAACCAGAATTTCATACTCTATTCGAATCTGCAAAAAGAAGTTCGACTCTTCACAAAAATGGCCGATGACGTCATAAATTCTACAAAAATGGCGCCAAATATAAAATTGTAATTGAAAAACAAAATCGACGTGTTTTTGAAAAATTATAGGAAATTATTAAATGAATTTGTTCCATACTTTTGCCGCTCACTGTATGTACATTGCATAAACAATATTAATATTATTCATTCACGAAATTTTTAAGGCAAATGTGAATTTTCACTTTTTATAGTTTTTATTTTTAAGGGATTTCTTCTTTATTACTATAACTATGTAAAACATTTATTAAGCTGCAAAAAATGTCATTTCTAAAATCATATCTAACAAATTAAAACACTAAAATTTGTATTTTTATAATTTGCAGGGATTTTCTAAAAAATAATTTAGAATTGAAGATACAAGATATAATTTTGTTCACTCTGTGATTTTGTCATACAGAGGAGTTTCTACTCTATAATTTTGTCAGTATTAAAACAAGATAAGGTAAAGAATAAAGACGCCCTTTTTTGTTTTTATATAGTTTTATTACATAAATTTAGTCTTATTTATATATATATATATATATATATATATATATATATTGAAGATACAAGATATAATTTTGTTCACTCTGTGATTTTGTCATACAGAGGAGTTTCTACTCTATAATTTTGTCAGTATTAAAACAAGATAAGGTAAAGAATAAAGACGCCCTTTTTTGTTTTTATATAGTTTTATTACATAAATTTAGTCTTATTTATATATATATATATATATATATATACATATACACTTACTTAAATAAATTACAATCATAAAGTTTATGACATTTTTAAATTGTACAAAAATCATTTAACGCTTAGTAAAACTCTTAGGTACCTATTTAAGTGCATTCGATTTTTTTTTATTTTTATATATAATACAAATATAGCCAATATATAACAATTATTAATTATTACAGATATATAATATACAGGTAAACATAAATTATTTTAACGAAATGTTAAATTATAAAAGTAGACCCAAATCGGAACATACTTTTACAATCAGTTAATTTGACTGAGTCAAAATAGTTTAATAAAAATAAATTCATATTTATGTATAACAGTTGTAATTAAATAGTGAACTAATTTCTAAACAATACTACATTACAATATGTTTACTACAAATTTATTTGACTTATTTATTTAAATAGGTATTTATTATATTATATATCTAATATTTACATTCCTATTGTGTATTTTAATAATGTTAAATAAAAGTTTATTTTTTACAATAATACCATAATACTTTGGACTCTTTAGTATTCTGGTATCTTAAATTTAAAAACTATAATATAAAAAGTTTCTTTAAAGATTTATTACAACAACCTATATACAATATTCACCCATATTTTGATCCTTTCAGGCCAAAATCTGAAAAAAAAGAAAGTCATATTTAGCGTATAAATTCCGCCTAGAGTAATAAAATTTGATTTTTTTTTATAAAAATGCAAATAAAATATCTAAAAAGTTTGTTAATTGTGCAACAATTATTATAATATTCCTTCATATTTTAAAAGACAATAAATCAATTGACCAAATTATTCATAAAAAAATATATAGAAAATCTTAATATACATTTATATGTATCTATTATTTATAAATTAAGGCGGAATCGCCCTATTAATTATAAAACAGAATAATGGTATAAATTGTTATTACTTTTATTACACGTGCATACTTCTAATAACAGTATTGCATTAAGCGTTTAATCGATAATCACGTTTGCCTGTAGGTGCTTGGGGTTAGATAAGTTTGCCATCAGGGTTTAAATTTATATTTAGCTCTGCTTTATTGGCAATGTAATTTTCTTAAAAAAATATTAAATTAGATTATGCAAAATGATATATTAGATTTTTATAAAGGGTTAAAGTAAGTGTTTTTTTCATGATTTTGACAAACATTCATCAATATTTATGGCATGATGCAAATATCAATCTTTATTAAATTTATGATTAATTATTATACCTTCTTAAAATAGAGTGAGCAAAATTATAAAGGACGGTATAAAAATCAGATTTGTTAACATGAGTTTGTAGTTTGTTAGTTTTATTTTGTAAAATTTTAACATAATATTTTGTAGAAAACCAGGGTTTGTAATTACAACAAAGGAAAATATTTTACTGTTTTGTTAAGGTAATATACAATTTTGTAAGCATTTTGTTAATTTTAAAGGTTAAGAATATTTTGTAAACGTTTAACAAATTATTTTGTTAAAAAAGTACACGTGATTTCAGGCAGTCAATCAAGCATTTCCCACTGACAATACGCATCAACAAGTTCAACTGACTTCAGCGTCTGCAATGTTTTTGCTTACTTTATTCTAATTCGTATTGTGTTCGTAACAACAGTTGTTACGAACACAATACGAATTAGAATAAAGTAAGCAAAAACATTGCAGACGCTGAAGTCAGTTGAACTTGACGCTGAAGTCAGTTGAACAGTTACTGTCCAGAGTGTTTATAAACATTATAAATAATTTATTACGAGAAATCTGTTATTATTGTTATTCGGATTCCTTATACCTTTTAAGGAGTGTGCAAAGTGCGAAGTATAAAAAAAGATCACTGGTTTTCAAACTGAAATTAGGGAACACAGTGAAGTAGGTGAAAGTTACAAAATACTTCAGTAAATGTTTTAGTAGTAATAATAATTGAGGAGGTGCATTCCAAAACATGGCTTATCCATATTAGTTGTTTTTGAGCAAAATGTCAAAAACATTACGTGAGTACTAACATATCAGGCCAACACAATACTTTAAACAAAATATATAGGCATAAGTAAAACATTTATATACCTTTAAAATTACATACGTATATGCCGAGTTCTGCATGATATATCCAATAGATAAGGCAACGATAGTCAATTTGTAAATGAATTTTAATTGGAATAAGGTGAGTTTTAGAACATTATGAACTTTTCAGGGTATAGGGGTATACATGTTAAATGTACAGACACCACAAGCTTATTTTTTATTAAAAAGTGGATAAGCCGAGTTTTGGAATTGACCTCCTCAATTATATTGTACCAAATTTCTTAATAATAATAATTTAATGATTTCAGAATGGTGTGTTAATTAATTGTGTGTATGTTATTTTTATGTTCATTTATGTAGGTATGTGTTAATTTCTTATTAAAATTATTTTTATTTAATTTCCTAATTTTCAGCAAATACTTTTGTTATTGGGTCTGGAATTATGGTTAAATTATTTACTCAGGATTTTCTTATTAAATCCACAAAATGTTTGTTATAATTACAAACTACTTATTCAATTAGTTAACAGATTAGAGTTGGTTGTAAACTTAACATAAAGTTATGTGGACCTGGATTAACACAAAATCTGGTTATTAATATTTGGTTAAAATTAACAAATTACCCTATGACCCCTTCTTGCTTAGCTAAAATCACAATTTTTTAAATGTAGTAAGCAATTTCGCATTAATGCATTTAAATATCTTAAACTCTATTTATGTATTTTGTATAAATACTTTAAAACATTTAACAGTTATAAGCATTACATTAAGTATACGTCTCTAACCCGGCGCATTCGCCATTTTTTCAACAATAGTTTTAATAGGGACAAAGGTTATCCATATACTAACATAGAGTAAGAAGCAAGGAGGAAAAAAATCATAATTAAAAAAATAATATATAATTTTATTTAATTTTGTATTGTGAGAATAATTTTTTGGAAAAAATATTTACGCAGAAATAAGTCATAGGTAATAATAAGTCATAGGTAATTTATTTAAACGTTTTAGATTTAAAACGTTTAAATAAATTACCGATTGGGTTGGATATTCGGAATATAGCGCACCCACGTTATAGGGGGGTTAACCTCCTACAAAAACCTATTTTTTAGGTACTTAAGTTATAACTTTGAGCACATAAAAAATACATTATTTTCGACTAGTAGTCGATTAGTTATTAAAATGAATACATATTTTCAGTGAGTTAAAAAATACTTCAGAAATATGGTCCATTAAGACTTTTGAATATAAATTTCTATCGTGCTTTTGGAAATCGATGGGTTTTGTTCCAAATGTTCCAAACTAGAATTTTTTAAATTTTGAGGCTTAACACAATCAGGCTCAAATCAGGCTATATAATGATTAAAAATGTGACTACAGTATTTAAAACTAATTTAATAGAAACTTACATGTAAGTTTCTGTTTCTTCTAATGTAAAATCGTTTGGGCCATTAAAATTATATGCAAAACCCTAATTTTTTGCACGACATGCCGCGGCATCTGCAAAGTACCATTATGGTACTACCATAAAATATATTAAACAAATAAGAAATAATTATGATAAGTCGTTTTTGAATTTTAAATTGCGGAACAACTACCACATTTGTAAATAAAAATGAATGACGCCATTCAAAGGGATTTTGTTATCAAAAATGTTATGTAAAATATTAAATTTCTATATTTTAAACAATTCTAAAGGTATTTGTAACCAGGTGGTACTTTCTGTCTATTTTATTTTGTCAAGGAAAAGTCAGGGAATTAATACTGATATAATTTATTCTTTTGTGCCAGGTAAAATGACGGAACATAAAATTTAATGTACAGGATGTCTAAGCAGGAATGTGAAATTTTTCGGATTATATCTGCTATTGAAAAATATAAAATGTTTTATGGTTTAAAGGTAATTTAAAAGGATAATAATACTTATTGCCTTTCAACCAAAGAATATTTACCATTTTTATTTTCAAATAATTTAGTTTTTTCATAGCTATTATTTCAGCGACAATATAATTCATTAATATTAGAACCAATAAAATGCCAGTATTCCATAGTGACGTATTTTATCACAGCGGCAATAATTTTTATCATCTTGTTTACACGTTACTATGAATTTTGACGTTTTTTTGATTTGACATTTGTTGTCATTTAAATTCTGTTTTTGATATATATCAATAAAATAATGAATTATAAACTCTAAAAGATCGATGGGTTGGTGTAAACGATAATGAAATTAAGGTAAGTTTGAATAAATAAGGTTTATTAAAGTCTTTTTATATTTTAAAGCACATTTTAATTTCAAATGTCAAACTAAAAATTCGTTAAATCCTAAAATTCATTATATTTTCTCACTAAATATAACTCGTGGTATGATTAATTATCGATGATATTTACTCATTAAAACCGAAGCAGCACATTTCACTCGTCCTGCGGACTCGTGAAATCTGCAGCTCGGTTTCAATTCGAAAATATCATCGATGATAATCATACCACTTGTTATATTATGGGTGATAATATTTGGTAATTATATTATTTACGAGTATATATTATTTTAGTGCTGGGGCAAAAGGAACTATAGCAGGCTATATAATAGTTGTATAATAATAATTATTATCCTATTATACCTATTATACCTATTATAATAGGTATATATCATTAGGCCAAAAAGTTCCATACATTTTTATTTTAAAAAAAATTTAAGGTAGCTCGCCCCCTTCGCCCTTACACCCACGGCACGCTACTGTAAACACTGCACTTACTAAAACAATTCCTACTCTCTTTTCCTTTTTACATTATCTACAGCGACTTTTTTTAGTTAAAATAACCAAATCTTTATTTTATCTTAAAATGTTAAGAACGTCATTAAAAAAGTTTCACAAAAAAAATTGTTTTTATATTTTAGTAAAATAGTTTTAGAAGAAAAACTTTATCGTCAACATTCTTTATTTTAAGAGCGTCTTTGGCAGCAACATCAAACAAATGTTCGAGATCACTTCTGAACATATTCTTACGCACAATTTTCACTTTGAAAAACAAGCAAAAACTAAAAGTGACTTAAGGGTTTATAAATACTTACCTTCTGGGCGACCAGTAAATGGCAACCTAGAGTATTCAAATTTACATAATTACAAAAAAAAATGACCTATGTGGAAGCAATGTTCTCCATACTACTGGGTAGTTTTAACAGAGTTGCAAATAATGCATTATTTTTTTAATGCATTAAGGTTTAATACTCAATATTAAAATAATGAGCAATGAGTTTAATTTTCATTACATGTTTTTCAATAAGTAATGTATTCTTTTTTACATTACTCATTTTTAATTTGATTTTTAATTAAACTCTTGTATGTATATGAGTAATGTACTCACTTTACATTGCTCATTTTTTTATTTTTAATGAGAAATGAATGAGTATCGAATTTATTTTTAGTGGGCAAGGAAGATATTTTTATTGCATGACATTTTCTAAATTTTTGCAGGGTAATTAATTTTTTATAAAAATAATGAGTGAAAATAATTTAATATTTAAAAGTAATTAATTTCATTAGAAAAAATTGTTTATTTTTTATTTTAATAGTCACCTTTATTAAAGGAAAAGATTAAATTTTATAAAAGTTACTAAAATT